GGGGCATTTGAATAGCAGCACTCTTCAGTTCTCCAGTCTATTCAGGGGTCTTCAAACTTGACAGCTTTAAAGCTTGTGGACTTCAACTCCCAGAATTCCTCCTCCAGTCATATTAGCTCAGGAATTCTGGGAATTGAAGTCCACAAATCTTAAACTTGCAAAGTTTGAAGACCCTTGATATAAAAGAATAGGCTTATGAAGTCATGGAAAACTTGCTGCCATTAACACTTCAGAATTATAGGGATAATACCTGATGTCCATTCCACATCTACAAGGAAGGATTCAATGTTCTGCATTGTCTGCTTCAGTGTTTGACAATTTTATAAGATATGTGGACTTCAGTTCCCAGAAGTCCACATATCTTAAAGCTGTCAAGGCTGAGAAATTGTGCGCTCTGCTTTTTCCTGAGGCCTGAATATGTAGATAGACAAGCGAACATGTCTTCTGGAAAGTCAATCATGGTAATTCCTTCCCATGACATCCCTTAATTAATTTCTTGCTTTCCTTTTTCTCATACAAATTGGCTTGCATGGGGACGAATTAATGACACATTGCGGGAAGGAGGCCAGCTATCTGAGTGCAAAGCTTTCAGCGTTCTTGTATGTAGAAAAGCAGGCAAATGTCAAAATAAAGCCCAGCGGATTCTCTGCTTGTCCTTGAGAACTTCTGTTCGCTCACGACCAATCGGGGTCAAGATCAAAGAGCAACGGCAGTCAAGCTTCCTCTTTGGATCAAATCCTACCATTTCAAGGATCTGAAGCCTGCGCTGTTGTTCTGTTAAACCTTCAGAAGACGGAGACTCTCTGCGAAATCCTCAACTTGCAATCCCGCACCCGTCCGACTCAGCCCAAGCGACAGGTTACGCTTGTCAATGGTTGCAAGACAGAGCAAGAAAAAAATGCATGTGTGTTCGCGGCAATATCTAGCTTGCATTTTAGCGCGCCACCCCCGTCCTTGTCTCCGATCTACCCTCGGGAATATGATAACATCACCTTTGTTCTACTCCTCTTCTTTATTCCGGGTAGCCCCCCCTCCCCCCCGCGCCCCTTTAAAAAGCTTCTCCAGTCATTTTCCTTCGCTGATTCGTGACACGCGCGTGGGAAGAGCGCATTGGTGAAGCGGTTTTCCTCGTTTTCTCCATTGGGCAACTGGAGAGTAAAGGAGGGACGAAGTATCAGACCTTATTGTGGGCGTTACCGAGACCGGGAGGAGGTGTGGCCCTAGCAGACTTTCATTTCAACCCGCTCTTCTGTTTTGACCTATTGCAGAGTCAACGCCCCGAGTAAAAACGACGGCGGTAGTGCTAGCAGCAGCAGCAGCAGCTACCCAGGCGTAGAGTTCGACCGTGGCACTGGGAGCGAGACGAGCAGTGACAACCCAAGCCCTCCTCGTCCTGGGATCTTCCAGTCCTGTTTTTCCAAGCCTTCCAAGTCGCCCAGTGATTCCTATCTGCCCAAAGAGGTGAGTCTCCTCTATTTCTTCGCCTGGCACTTCTTTGGGGTGCATACATTACTCGGCTCCAAATGCTTAGTGTAAAAGCAACGAGTCTTGCGGTATTTTAAAGGTTGGCAAGGATTATTGTAAGGCTGAAGCCTCAAATAGCTTAAAAACTAACATGCTATTATAGGGTTGGACGATCCTTTTTGCGGTTTTTACTGCAATTATCTAGTGTCTGACTGCGGCTTTGGACAGTTTTTTTTTTTAAATGACATGAAAAGCCTCTTTCATATACTGTACAAAATTCTTATCTGTGTTAGAATTTTCTTGTTTCCAGTTGCTTTTCCCTGTTGACTCTTTGTCCCCACTCTCAAAATTGTAGAAGTCAAAATGGCTGAGAAAGCTTTTCACCTTTTGTGTTATATTGGTCTGGTTAAGTTTGATTGCAGACTATTTCCTTTATAGCATGTTGCTCCTAGAATAAGAGAACCAAATGGGTACATTTTTAATCTAATCCTGATTTATGTGTAGAACTGTGGGATAGTTATAGTAATATTTTCACCATTAAATGATTTCAGAAATTGTGTTAAATTCAATATGATAAAATCAATTTCAGCTTTATTCCTTAACCGATTGAGTTTTGGAAGTCTTTGTGTAAGATAATGGCTTTATATCATAATTACATTATGGAATTCTGCATTTAGGTTAGTTTTTTGGTAACCAACAATTCCATTACAAATGTGGCCATGAAAATGTGAAGTGGAAATGTTCAAAATAACTGGTCCCAATTTTGGTTTGATTGAGATAAGAGAATGGCTGGATGCTGCCCAACAAAATCAGCATTTTAATTTTAAGTGTATTTGTTTTGTTTATTAGATTTATATCCCACTTTATATAATTCAAGGTGGCATACAAGGTTTCTTTTATTGAAGTCCACTGATTTTACTATTTTATTAAATATACATAAAGAAGTAGTTTTGGAAAGAATGGTAGAAAATCCCGGGAAACAAAAGGATCATTTTAGCAGCCAGTTATCAAAGACTCTATAGCCTTGCTCATTTGTACTGATTTTGCTGTGAGGTGACATATATTGACATCCAATTTCTGCAGCAAGGTAATGATGAAAAATATGTAAAATATCTCTGAGAACTATAATCTTGCCTACAAAGTTTTTTCTTACTCCTTTTATACAATAAGGCCTCTTTAATTATGGATTTCAGAATACTGGTTATTTCAACATCCAATATTATGCAAGCACTCTTCTAATTGCAACACCTTTCCCTTTTTTTTCAAGTCCCTTTCCCAGACATGCACTAAGTCTTTAAGGGTGGACACAAGGAAGGAGAACCTATTTTGCAGATGGATACTATTTCCCCAGGCAAATGAAAACCTATACAGGCAGTCCTCAACTTATGACTACAATTGCGTCCAAAATTTCTGTTGCTAAGTGAGATGGCTGTTGAGTTTTGCCCCATTTCACACCCTTTCTTGCTATAGCTATTAAGTGTTGTTAATAACAGCCCTTACATGAATCTGGCTTCCTCATTAGCTGCTTGTCTGAAGGTTGTAGGAGGTGATCCTGGGACAGTGCAACTGTCATAAATATGAGCCAGTTGCCAAGCATCTGAATTTTGATCACATCCATGCAGATGTTACAATGGTTGTAAGTGTGAAAAATTGTCATTTTTTTCAGTGCCGTTGTAACTTAGAATGGTCACTAAATGAACTATTCTAAATTGAGTACCTGTAATCAGGTTTACATTTTTCAGTAAGCCACTTTATGGTTCATTTGGACTTGATTAAGCAGCTTTGCGCCCTGATAGTTATAGTTAGTTGAACCAGCCATGGTCGAAGGATGGCTTAGTAAAATATGCGAATAGAATAAAAACTTTATTGTCACTTTAAATTACAACTAATCAGCATACATTAAAATGAAATTTAGTTGTATTCTGCTTTCAAAAGATAACCATTATGGATATATCCACATACATACACATATATGACAGAAACATCAGTCTAGTTTGAAATGTATATATTACATGGGGAAAAAGAAGAATCCTGTGAGTTTACAAGACTAATGGCATAAGCAGCAAATTGGGCTATTGTATATAATGTTCCTCTAATATGAACATGATGAGTTACATTTGCACTTCAAAATGTTTATGGACTGGAGGCCATTTCATTACAGTGATCTTGAAAGCTTATGCCAGAATGAGTACTTTGCTTCACAATGACGTTTTTGTCATAGTTTATCACATAATCTCTATGTGACAAACAATCTGATTTAAATTTAATAGTGTCATTTAACAGTTTATTTGATTTCATGTTCAAACATCTCTTTCCATAAGGAAAAATATTTTTGTAAATATTTTTGTAAAATGTATCTTGCAGCAATACAGTAAGTATTTCTGCCACTTTGATTATTTTGGAATGTTCTATTCTTATATACTCATGATTAGACTTTAGCCTAGCAGCTAGCCCAAACAGTACAGTAGTACTACTGCATAGTACTACAAAAAGTAATTTTAGAGTGGAGCCTACAGCATGTGCTTCTTTCATTGACTCTTGCATACAGTGTTAGATATTTTCTGAAGGTAAAATTGCCAACTCATGGCTCTTTCATAACCAACACTCGTAAGCAAATACCTTGGGGATTATCAATTGGCCACAGGACATTTTAAAGCTATGCTTTTGTTGACTAAGGTCAAGGGGCAGGTGGGAGCATTTTATTTCCTTGAATATCTTCCTTTGAAGAGTCTCATTTTCAGAAAGTAAATATATAGAAAGGGTCTGTTTAGCAACCAAATACACTTTATTAAGGAAAGGAAAGGAAAACAATGTGCTGGCTATACAAGCAGGTGCCTGGAGTACAAATGTTTAGGCTTCTCCAAAATGCAGAGTATGGTAGTGTCAATCAGAACAAGCTCTGCATTTTTATTTTATTTATTAAACTTATATGGCTGTCCATCTTACAGATGTGACAATGTCATACAAAACAATCATAAAAATCTCAAAGTACAAGTACAAAAATTAATATTAGTATAAAAAGTTAAGACAACAGGTTATAAACACCAACTGATCAAATTACCATTTCCTTGCAATTCCTAGGCTTTTTTTTACATAACCAGGTTTTAAAGGAGTTCCAGAAAGGTGGTAGAGATCTCATCTCTTAGGGGATGATGTTCCAGAGAACAGACGCCATGGCAGAAAAGGTCTATGTCCTGGGTCCCGTGAAATGGAACTTCTTCACAGATGGAACCTGTAACATACCACTTCTACCAGATCCGATAGGCTGGGAAGGTGTAATTGTGTAGATGTAGTCCCTTAAATAACCCAGTCCCATGCCATGAACCAGCACTTTGAAATGTTTGTGGAAACAAACTGATAACCATTGCAGCTCATGAAACAGAGGTGTAACATGTACTCTATGTGCATATGTGCACCAGATGAAGCTTCAGGATATTCTCTATAATATAATTCAGCTACTAGGTGATCTGTAAATAAAGGAACAGTTATTTAACCCAGAGTTGCTTAGGGAGGCATACACATTGAAATTATCTATGGTTAGTCAGCCAGATATTTAGACTGGATCTTGCATTTTAATTCACTTATCTAGGCCTTCCCAAGGACCTGAGCAAATGTTATTACTTTTATATATACAAAAATGCAAAATCACAGCTGCCAATTCTTTAGCTAGTGTTGGCCTTCATACTCTGAGTTCCTCCTAAAAACACAGGATGTTGTATTGGTATAGTATATGTGACAGTCCAACCAGTATGGCATTTTGTAATTGACAGATGGAAATTTTGTCAAAACACATATTTTGTAAGTATTATCCAAAAAAATTCATATGGTGTCAATAACCACTGGTCTAACTTGGTTGGTTAATGCCATAATCATTCAATTTTCAGATGTTGATGTTTTATGTTTTTCTTCAGTTTTGTCTTCTAATCTACTGTTTCTTGGTCTTGTCACCTCATGTATCCATACTTTCCTCCTTTCAACCATAGTTAAATCTGATGTGATATAAATCAAGGCTTTATCATATTGTATTTAGAAATCCCATAATATTTTAACCTGCTCATTTTTATTACTTTTCAGCTATGTGTTCCCACCAATTTTTCATTACTTAGTATGGGATAATTTTACAGATATTCCAGCGAATCATTTTGGTGACTGTATTTTGATGTTTATAATCAGTTTTTGTGATCTTGCTCCAGCTGAGTAAGCTGACTTTGAATTAATTTGACAATTTTTTCCAATTCTGACTTTGATTGCATTAAATAGTTTACTCTTGAGCAGCCAAAATCAAGCCTCTTTTTAATGTTACCTTTGTAAGCCATTTTATCTTTATCCACTTTCACCTTGTTTTTTTTGTAGAAGTTGACGATGTAATGCTTTTCCTTGCCAGCATTCAGTTCATATTTTATTGCATTATTTCAATATTCATGTTAAGTTCCAATTTTTAAGTTCCATCCATATTTGTTTTTGGGTGTCTTTTTACATAATCAAAGATGTCCTCTTCTTCTCAACTTCACTTCCCAACTTTTGCATCAACTTTTTTTTTCTGTCTCTAGCACAATGGAAGCAAATTGAGTAACCTCATTTTACATGCAACTGATGTAGATTTGATTTCTAGAACATGAATTGTCTCAGACCCATCCAACTGAAATTCGGGGGTGGTCTACTCATGAACTTTCAGAGCTAGTTGACTGGACTAGTTTTAATCTTCCATAACACATTATCCCCCTCTTATTGATCCTGTTAGAGATGTTGTACAAATAGGATCTGTTTGTAGTTGGAAGTCTCAAATCACAGTCTTTCACTGCATAGCTTATTGAAACAGATTCCTTGTGACTACATTCCATATATCTCCAATAATTTTTGAAGAATAAAATTATTTTGCTTTTTTATATCCTATATCATAATTTTATATCCACATGTATATCTTTCATTCAAAGAAACTGTAAAAATTTAGGGTTGATATTGTGGGATGGGGGATACAACAAAGTGTATAGAAGAAGTATTAAACATGTACACATATACTGAATTAACTTGCTTTAAGAACAGATTCTGGGCTTAATTAAAAAGTTGAGCTGGAGATGAATCAGAAATTCCTGTGTTTTCTTTCCATTAGCTTACAATGTCTAAAAAGATCAATGGAGGTTCTGTGGTTGAGATGCAAGGGGATGAAATGACCCGTGTGATATGGGACCTGATTAAGGAGAAGCTGATCTTTCCCTTTGTGGACCTGGATCTCCACAGGTACATATCTTCTATACTATGAGGAAAATGCAGCTTACGTGTGTTTTTATTAAGTGTTAGTTCTGGTACTTGAAAAAGTCTGAAGAAATAACACTGTATTCCATGTGTATATTTTCAAAACTGTCTCCCTGCTCTTCAAATCGTGACATTCCCTTAACCAAACCTTTATTTTAAAACTGGAAGGTTCAGGTACGTGAATAACTGGCCTGAAGATAAGAATATTTTCACATTGCCAGCATTCATTCAGATGCTGTGGCAAAGCCCAGCTGTTTCAAAGGCTGTCTTGTGGCTTTAAATTAACCAAATTAACTGAATGGTCACCATTTGTTTTTATATGTTTTAGAGTGGTATAACCAGCAGAGAAATGTAATAGATTCCATCACTGCACTATAGAAAATAGCTGCTTAATAAAAGCTTTTTCCCCCACCTTACAAGTTAGGAGGTCTGTGGGTGTCCTCCCTTTGATTTTCTTAGCTTTTAGATGATTACTGTTTTGTTCATTTCTTTGGGCCATATTTTAATTTTGAGTAGCTCTTCTGAATGTTATAGATTACCCTATAGATAAGGTTTCTTTGCCTGGATCTTTCCACTTGCACCTAATAGTAACAGAGACATATCCTGGCAACAGCATTTTTTTCTGTCATGTTCCCAATACATCGCCTTCATTACATCCCAGCCTTGATTGTGACAGGTTTAAATTTAAATTATCCATATTGAGTTACCATTTTTCCTCTTATTCCCATAAAGTCCAAAGGCAGCCTGAAGGTGTGTAAATTCTGTTAAGCTTTGTAACCCATTAACTTAGAAGAAACTCAGCAAACTGCAGTGACTTGAAAAATAAGCACAAAAAAGTCAGGTATTGACAAGATTTCATGCTAATATAATTTTCTGCTAATTCAAAGAAGGCAAGGTAATATAAGTTAACTGTGGAGAGTTGTAAACCTGCATCCTTTCTTTTGGACTCCATGTAGTTCAGATATTCCATAAACTCCCAGAAGCTACAGTGGCAGAGGTGACATCACATGGCATTTCAATTGGCTGTTCTATTAGCTATCAAGGCCATTAAAGGAACCCCCTTGATAAAAGGACAGTAAGTTCTTTTAATTGCGTCAGCCATAAACAAAAGCCAGAACATTTTGAACTTTTCCCTACTTCTCTCATACTTTGTTCCCAGAAGGCAAAATGAAGGTAGGCAATCGCCTGTCTAACAAGATGTGCTGTTTTGCAAGCACTTGAACCTGCTAAAATATTACCAGGGTCTGATTTCTATGACATAGTGGAGCCTAGCTAATATATTTTTATTTCTTCTTTGCCTTCCTCTTAAAAGGGCAAACATACTAACCAATACAATTTAGGGCAATACATTGGTTTATGTAGAATTTGGTGTATATATTAATGATGTTTTCCAGTATTGCTTTGTTGAAATTGACCATTTACATAAAATTTCTGCAGCTTACTTTGTATGTGGCACTAATAAACTTCAGTATTAAAGTTTTTATTTAAATTGTTTATATGACTACTCATAACAGTGATTCTGAGCAGTGTACAAGTATTAAAACAAACCACAGCCTACAAGCAATGACACCAAGGATAAAACAAATTACCGTATTTGCCGGCGTATAAGACGACTTTTTTGCCCTAAAAAACATGCCTCCAAGTGGGGGGGTCGTCTTATACGCCGGTAAATACATTGTCACTCGGTGCAAGAGCGACGGGGGCGGAGCTCCGCAACTTGCGAAGCCCCTTCAAGCCCAGCCGGAGTCTCTCTTCCTCCTCCTCCCACCCACCCACCCACCCTCCGCCTAGCTCGGGGCGCTTGCGGAGGCCAATCTGGAGGTGGGGTGGGGGTGGAGCGGGAGGGTCTCTGGCGGGGCCGCTTCGCCCAGCCAGCCCCGAGCCGCGTAATGGCCCAGGGAGTGGGGGGGGAGAAGGTGGTGGGGGTGGACTGTGGCGCCCCTCCTTCTGGGCAGCGGGGCGGGGGGCGGCAATTTGCTCCTCCCGCTTCTCCCTCCCTCTTTGAAAGACCGGGAGGGCTGTGCTTGGGGCGGGGGGGGATGTCCTCAGGAAGTTCCTGATGGGACCCCGCTGGGCAGGGCCACCCAGCTCCCGAGCTGCTTTCCAGGGTCCCCTTGGGAAGAAAAGGGTCCGGTGGGCGGTGGAAGAAGGCGAGCACCCTCCTCCCGCCCCCTGTCCCGTCCCGTCCCTCCTCTTGTCCCCTCCTCCCCTCCCCGCTTAAGAGAGAAAGATCTGCCTCCCCTGCACCGAGCTTCCACCCGGCGCCGCGTCTCCCGGCCAGCGCGCGCTTGCGACTTGGGAACCGGCCAAGCGACTTTAAAACCGAGCGGAGGCCAGAGATAGCCGGAATTACCCTCCACACCACACACACACACACACACACAGAGAGAGAGAGAGAGAGAGAGTGAGTGAGTGAGTTGGCAGCTGTCCATCCCCCACCCTTGGAGTCCCGATGGCACGCACGCGGGGGCTGTCACAAAGAAAGGGAGAGGAATTGAGTGCCAGCCTGAGAAAGGCGAAGCTGCCTCTCTAAAGCATTTTGGTGGCTTTGTAAGTTTGGGGGAAAGGGGTTGGGGGTGTCAATCAAGAATTATATCCAGAATACCCCAAGTGTTACAACTTACCGTATTTGCCGGCGTATGAGATGACTTTTTTGCCTTGAAAAGCATGCCTCCAAGTGGGGGGGTCGTCTTATACGGCGAGTATATAACAAAAACTATATTTTGAGTGGAAATGTTGGGGGCTCGTCTTATACGCCCAGTCGTCTTATACGCCGGCAAATATGGTACTTCAATCACAGAAAATGCACATCACAGTAGCAGAGCTCACCTTACCACCTGACTGAGACACCTGGGAAAACTTCAGTACCTTACAATAGGCTAACAGGATCAGGGACACCTGGATCTCTGAGGAAAGGCCCCCTGCATAGAAGGGATGACTCTGAAGTCTAACATGATGACATTGTTTAGAAAGCACCTGACCCATTTGCTGGTAGAAACAATGGGACAGAGGCAATTCCACAAATAGCTTAGGCCTATGTTTTGTAGTCAACCAGCATCTTGAATTGCACCCAGAAGCCATCTGGGAGTAGTCCTCAACTTATATGTGTTCATTGAGGAACTATTCAATGTTAGAATGACATTGAAAAACGTGACTTATGACTGATCCTCATCTCAAACATATGATTGTCACAGCAGTGTGACAGATGTGACTAAAATTTGGGCACTTGGCAACCAGCATGTATTTATGATGGCTGCAGCATCCTTGGGTCATATGATCATTTGTGACCTTCCCAACTGGCTTCTGATAAATGATGCCAATGGGGGAAGCTTAACTGCATGGTTCGCTTACGAACTGTAGTGATTCACTTAATTGTGGCAAAAAGTTGTAAAATTGGGCATGACTCACTTAATTGCCTTACTTAGCCATAGAAATTCTAGTTCCAATTGTGGTCACAAGTCAAGGACCACTTGGTATTTGAGGGTATTAAAACGTGTCAAAAATTGTCCATCCTGCTGCATTCTGGATCAGCTGTAGTTTTCAATACCCTTCAAAGGCAGCCTCGTGTTATAATATGTCTTCGTTGGTGATATGTTAATTATTCAGTTTCAAGACAATCTGATTCCTTAAGAACTCTAGGTTGCTTACAAGTAATAAAAATGAAAACAAAACTTTCATGTAATGTGAACTGTAGATTAAGAGACAGCAGAAAAATAAATTCACATCCAAAGACAAAAGCCTCTGCTTTAAATATTATTTGTAATATTTCTAAAACAGTTTTCAGTGTTTTAAAAGTATAACCAGTATAAGGTCCTGTACAATTGTTGAAGGTTACCCAAGAGGCAGTCTAGATCTTAAGCAATTTGAATAAATTACCCTTGTTAATAACGCAAGAGAGATTATTTCTTTTGCTTTTTTGACTCAGAATCCAAACTATCCTTTTTTCCACTCCACTCCTCTATTATTATACAAGCAATGCAATAAACCCATCTGTCTCTAAACCTTGACCTGCTTCAACTGGCTGTATGGGTATTAAAGTTACTGACTCTACTGAGTAATTGTGCAGTATTCTCTCAAATCAGTCTGAAGGTTGGAGATAAAGGCAGCAGATAAAGGCAGCACAGTTTTTGTTAAGATACTTCTTTATTTTCAGTCCACTTGCAATACAAATGCAATACAGTTCCTTTGAAGGGCTGTTGGACACCACTGAGGTTTTGTCTTTCAATAATTATTATGAGTTGCCCATAAAGTAACTAGGAATCCAGGTTGACTTGATGCACCTAGCAGATCAAACATCAGCTTTTCTTTGCCAGAAAAGCTCCATCTCTCTCTCTCAGCTTCCTGTGGCAATCTTTGCTCTGGAACTGATTTAACAAAGCTGTTTTGTCCAATGTTTGGAAAAGGAAGACATTCCCTTTGGCCACTTGCTTGGATAGGAGTTTGAATAGGCTTACTTGTGTTCTGGCTTTCCTGGGCTTAAATCTTGGATTTCTCCATGGATTTCTGTGTCCAGATCTTGCCTCCTTTCCAGGGATACTTTAAAAATGGTTTCTTAGTAAAGTATAAATCTGGGAGATGGAGCCATGCATAAATGAAGTGATTATGTCGTTATGATTAAATGTCATTCATTGGGGATTTTCTTTGCAGCTATGATTTGGGCATTGAAAATCGTGATGCAACAGATGACATGGTGACAGTGGAAGCTGCTAAAGCTATAAAGAAGTACAATGTAGGAATCAAGTGTGCCACAATCACCCCTGATGAGAAGCGTGTAGAAGAGTTCAAGCTAAAACAGATGTGGAAATCACCTAATGGAACCATTCGAAACATTTTGGGGGGTACTGTCTTCAGAGAAGCCATTATCTGCAAAAACATCCCTCGATTAGTGTCTGGATGGACAAAACCCATTATTATTGGCCGCCATGCTTATGGTGACCAAGTGAGTATTTTGAACAATATTTTATGTTTATCTTTTAACTTACATGACTTCTTACCATCATTAGAAATATTGATTAGAGAATACATGTATTTCGGAGCAAAATGCAATCTGGTTTACAGTACTATATTATTATAAAGCATGCATATAATGGCATTTATGTTAGAATAGATGAGTAGCAAACTGCAGGTTTGGCTAATGATTAAAATAGTTTGAGCCCGCTTTCAAAATACTTTTGAAGTTGACAGTATCACTATAGGAAGTCATCTTCAGGGCACAGCAATAGAAATTGTTTCCAAATAGATATGGTACATTATTATGACAGGTTCTGTGTAGAAGAACATTTGATTAAAACTGGTACTCCGTTTTTTGTTTTGTAGTACAGAGCTACAGATTTTGTGGTTCCTGGTCCTGGAAAAGTAGAGATGACGTACACACCAGCGGATGGAGGCAAACCTGTAACTTATTTGATCCATAATTTTGAAAGTAGGTATTTTGAATTAAAGTATTGATCAAAAAATAGCTGTCTGTGGAAAATTGGTGAAGGCTATAAAAAATGACAATAAACTAATCAGTTATTTTCCTGTAAGCTTTTCTATGAATTGTGGGTTAAACTATTAAATAATGGAAGAAGTTGGGTCCATAATCGAGATTAGCAACTGGCATCTGACATGTAAGCCTCTATAAAGTACTGTTTGCCCAATTTCCCAGTTGCTAATTTGAAAATATAAATGTAGAGGAATTAATAACAATATGAAGTTGGAATTGACCACCAGTCTAGTTGGGTGGATGAGAAATCTCACTGTTGCTTTCTCATAAAACGGTGCTTGGTAATCAGCATAAAAATGTACAGAAAGTAATTTTCCTGGATTTTTTTAATAGATTCTGTTATCACTATTGCTTCTCCTATCCTTTTCACTATCCCAACCCTTTTTTTAAGTGGAAAAAGTTAAAAATTGGAGTAATCCAAGATTACGTCAATGTTGCACAAATAGTTATAAAACTGACTTCAGTGATTGTGAAACCTGTTGGAACAATGGTTGTGAAACCTATTGCATCTAAATCTGCCTTACTTTTATAGAAATCATGCAGTCTTCTGGAGTGGGTAGCCATATCAAATGTAACAAAATTAAATATAGCTTGAAGAATTTCTACAATTCATGTACACAATTCATATACTATTCTGCAATGCCTATATTTAAAAGAAGAAAAGAAGCAAATACTGAAGTTTTCTAATGTATGCTTGGTAAAGGAAATCTTCGCAAGCTTTCCAGGTCCTTTTAAAAGTCTTCCCCAATATATCTTCTCATGTGTGGGACTCCAGTTCCCATAATTCTGAACAAGCCTGATCTCTGATTGGAAATAGTGAAAGCTGTCTTACATTAAAAGTAGATTGATTGGGAAGGGATGCTTTAGAGATAAATCTGGAAACTGCTTAGGGCAAATAGGCACAAATAGAATCTTCATGATCAGGTTCCTTTGAAATGCTGAAAGCTCTGAAGTGAGAGAGGTATATTTCTGTAGAAACAGGTCATAAAATGGAGCAGTAGGGGAGGCATTGTAGGAAGAATTACAAAGGTAACCTTGAGATCTCCAACTTTTCGACCATTTAAAATATTGGTTTCACATTCTACATACTTTATGGAAAGTTTCATATCTTATGCATGAATTACAAAAGTCTTAATAAAAGTTATGCAGCTTAGGAAGTTTAACAGCCTGGATAAGAGAGTACTCTTGTGATATCCAAGGAATTTCTGTGTCTTCCATTTCTGAATCCCCTCTGAATTACAGAGTTTTTTGGCCAGTGTTGGCCATAGATAACATAATATTGACTTACTTGGTTGAGTAAGAACACTTTCACTTAGAACACTTAGAACATCCAGGGTGACTTATATTACATTATATATGTATTGTAGTAATAACCTGCAAAATCTTTCTTGAAGACAGTTTGAAGGCTTACACTCACCTATCCACAACATTGTGACCAGATTCCTTATTTTGATGTGATGACCAAGTGTATTTTAGGTTGCGAATGATACTACGGATTCTGTGTGTGAAATAATAGAATTGTTTTGTTGCATTAGGTCTTTATATAAATAAGACACTTGATTTATATCAGCTGTGAGCCAAATTCCTTTCACGTTTCCTGTATATTTTTCCCTTAATCAGCAGGATATGATTGTATTAACTGGTAGACATACAATGTTTCATATCTGTGCAACTTAATAAAATATGCATTAAGAAATGAACAACTGATGGCTATGGTACAGCCAATAAAATTGCTCTAGTATGTATACTGATTTACAGTCGAGCCATGAATAAGCAGTTGTATGCTGTGTGCCAACTTGTACTGAGTGACAAGTACAGGCTGGTGCATGACTGAAAATTCCAGGCATATTATATTTTATATATATTATATCCTTTGTATTTCATTTCCAGCCAAAGTAATTACACGCTTCTCAGTTTGGCAATTAGAGGCCATCCATAATTTTAACAGCTTCCAGATAGTAATTCCTAATAGTTTCTAACAGTATTCCTGTAATATAGACCAGTGTTGCTCTCGATTGCTACCTTTGGTTCATATTGCTATATAGCAATGTTCATTTCTGGACTTTACCTTTGAATTTTGTTATTTTATGAATATTTTAGAGAGTTTTTTTCTTTGTAGATGCCACTAATTTATTAATTTTATTTCATTGTAATTTTATTAAAGATTCTAGAATAAAAACTAATACAAAGTGAAAAAAATAAAAAATACAAAAACTTCCTATTTTAATCACAAGAAATAAAAATAATTCTCCACACAACCACAATTGGGATCAGAATATTTATCACTAAGCAATGCAGTCACTGAGTGAGTTATGACTAGATCTGATTTTAGGAACATTTTTACCATAGTTGTTAGGCAAATCACATGGTTGTTAAAGAATCATATGGTCATTAAGCCAAATCAGCTTCCCCAATTTGCTTATTGGAAGCATCTGAGAAGGTTGCAAATAGCGATCATGTGACCACAAGATGCTGCAACCATTGTAATTGCAATAGCATTATGAATAAGTCCAGTATAGGTTTATTATGCCAGATAGGAATTGGTTTAGGAATACAGTAAGCCTTTTTTTTTACTTATATTCTTGGCTTAGTGTGTGATCTGTTCTGCATAATTTTAGAAACAGTTTTTTGCTCAGCATGGGCCTGCCTTTCTTCATATTACTGGTAGTTCTAATTCTGCTCAGTCGTAGCATGTTCCTTTTGAAGTTCAACAGGGTACAAATGACCAAAACAAGTGTGGCTTCAAATGTACTTCATAATTTGCTACAGATTTAGAGGAAATGAGAGGCCTGATGTTTCTTAGCTGCAAATTTAGCCAATTAAAAAGATTGCACATGACAAGCAAGTGAATTGTAATTTCTATACTTTTTATTTCATTCTTTCTGACTTGGAATCGTGAATATGGAGGCGCGGTTGCTCAGTAGCTTAATGACAGTGGAGATGATCTGTGTTCCAGTGGTTTATATCCTAGTACTGCATGTCGGGGTGAGCTCCTGTCACTCACTTCAGCTCCTATCCAGCTAACGGTTCATAAACATGTTCTATAGAAGTAGATAAATAGGTATCACTTTTGGTGGGGAGACTAGTTGGTGCTCCATACAGGCAGTCAGATTCCTGCCAGTTCTGAATCTTCCCCGTTGTGGCACCCAGTTATAAGGTGGCTCTGGGAAGGTAGGGGGGCTTGGATAATGCTGCATGAAGAGCCACTCTTCTTTCTTTCTGGTGCAAAGACAGTTTGGCCTCCTGTGGCGCACCTTGGGAAGCATGCGAGCATGTCCTACAACAGAGCTGGTAAATTGACACACTCTTCTGCAATAGCACTGTGGTTTCCTGGCTAATGTAACAATACGTACACTAATAATGGATATGAACATCAGTGAGCAACTTGGTATTACATGCAGTAAAGAGCCTTGTTGCCTCTTTTTGGAGCCTTAGGCTACATGACATTTTTTTTCATCTAATAGCTAATAGTGACATGAACTAGTTATCATTCAACCCTTGAAAATACTGTTCATATTAAAGAAAAAAAGTCTGTGAACTCTTGTGCTGTTAGGAAGCAAAAGTTTTGTTATATGCTGTCCCTCTTTACTTCATGCTTCTCTTTTCGGTGATACAGGCTGCGGAGGTGTGGCTCTGGGGATGTATAACCTTGACCAATCCATCAAGGACTTTGCCCACAGTTCTTTCCAGATGGCATTGTCTAAAGCCTGGCCTCTCTACATGAGCACCAAAAACACCATTTTGAAAAAATATGATGGGCGTTTTAAGGATATCTTTCAGGAAATCTATGACAAGTAATATTTTATTATGTATTTCCACTTGCAGGGTTACCTCTTTTTAAAAATGTACTGTTTTTTGTAAGCTTTCCTAATGAAGTATTAATTCCTGAGTCTGAAATTTTATTCTCAGAAGTTTTTTTAAAATGAATTCTTCAAAATTTAATGCAGAAGATACTGAACCGATTGTGCACATTAAACTATGAACGGAAGGGAATTACGAATATAAAATTAAGAAAACTACTTTTGTGGGACTGCTCATAAGGAAACTCCTTTTTTTAAAATCCTCTATACAGTAGATAAGATAGACAGGTGCCTAAACTGTCTCATTCAGTTCCCTGATAACACCCAAATATAATTTCTTGGCATCCCTTTATTTTCCCAGTCCTTAGTTGCCTTAAACAGCTCTCACTATATTGGAAAAAAAGTTGTTTGCTCAGATAAAATGCCCATCTCCCAGATGACACTAAATACAGAAAGAAAATGTTGTAGTGAAAGAATTTAAAGTTCCTCTTTTACTTTCTTTTTATGGAAAGACTTTCAAAAGCATGAGAAGTGCCAGACCTGTGACAAACACAGATAACATTCAGTTTTCTTTCCCCTGCAGAGAGTACAAGTCAAAGTTTGAGGCTAAAAACATCTGGTATGAGCATCGACTGATTGATGACATGGTGGCTCAAGTCCTAAAGTCTGAAGGAGGATTTATCTGGGCATGCAAGAACTATGATGGTGATGTGCAATCTGACTCAGTTGCCCAAGGTATATTCAATGCCTCTGTATGTTTTGGTAGCATGATTACCAGTGAGATGTATAGGTTTGCATAGAATAACTTGCCAGAATAATTACAAATATAAGCAGAATCATCTTGCTAGGTTTTAATTCTGTCTTGTAAGTCAGCTCAATGCAGTACTTCAGCAAAGGCCAACCAAATGCCTAGACTAAAGCTAGATAGGAAGGTAATAGCTGTTTTTCTTCTTTCCTTCTGCCCTCCCAATTCACAAATCATAGGGCCTGGTTATTAAGCAACTGTTTCTGATACTTTCTGCCAATACTGGAAGATCCGGTAGATTACTTTGCTCATGATGCCATCAATTAAGCAATACATCTAGTAGTACCCAGGTGATTGGGACTTCTCTGTTCCTTTTCTACTGTAGTACTTTCCTTCTGGAATAGTATCCCTTGGAGATTCAGTGGCATCTATCTTGCCAGCCTTTAAAAGAGTATTATTTTTTTAATGTATCAATTCATTAAATTTAGGTATTATTCAACTCCAGATTGACACTCAAAATAGCAGACAATATATAAGTAACATTCAACATAAAACATTACACAAATGTCAGATCCACTCAATATGTAGAACAGGAATCATATACCCAGCAAGGGCCACAACCACCCCGATCCAAAATCTAAAACGGGTGTCAAACTCATGATGACACATTGTGACATAACTCAACTTTTTCCCCCTTCGCTAAACCAGGGGTGGGCATGGCCAGCATGTGACGCATCCGGCCCACAGGCCATGAGTTTGACACCCCTGATCTAGAAGATCCAGGCTTTTAAGGCCCTCTAGAATTCAAGTTGGAATCTACCTGAATTTTAGGGGGAACCTCATTCTGGATCCTCATTCCAGAGGGCAGGCTCTTTCTCTAGGCCTTGGGTGAGAGTCATGGGGAGGGTGGGCTCCAGATGATACCACGTTTGGGTTTTGAGTTTTTGTTAATTTAAATATTAAGCCAACCAAAGTTGTTGAAACTGGATGGCCTAGACATTTGAAATATTAAGAACAAAGAAATAATTCTAAACATGCTTCTTTCAATTTCTGTAAACGTTGCTACTAGCTTGGGTTTGAACATTTGATGGACTCTAGGGATTATTTCACATTAGAACATTTTGTCCCCATTATTTCCTTAAAGTCTAACATAAATATACAAATAACAATATAATAATCTTGAATGAATAAGTTCTTATTAAAGAATTTGAGAGAATGTAACTGTTTTATGTCTACTTTCAGAAGTACAGTATTCTCAATAGGTGAGAATTAATGCTTTGACTCCAGATTATATTCCAAAGAATATTTGACATTTTTAATTAACTTGATGACATAAACTAATATAATTTATTTCCAGGTATTTTAATATTTCCCTTTATGGCTTTCAAATAAGCGTTGGAGCCTATTAGAGATTTAGAGAGAACTTCTGGCCTGCATCTGCTTTTCATTTTAAAATTATATGAAATGTAAACTCCTTCAATTCAAAATTCATTCTTGATGTCAACATGGGTATGTCCATGTAGTATTCTTGAAGATAGCCATTGTCAAAATCTGGAATGCTTTTTTCAGCTTCCTTATATAGCCTATAATCGTGATGGTGAACCTATGGCATGCATGCCAGAGGTGATATGCAGAGCCCTCTCTGTGGGCACGCGAGCCATCGCCTCAGCTCAGTTCTGCTACGTACACATGCCTCCCACTGGGCAGCTGATCTTCGGGTCTCTGTGCGCATGTGCAGGGGTCTGTGCGCATGTGCAGGGGATGCGCGGGGAGGAACATGCATGGGGGACATGCACATATTGTGTTTTGGGGATGCACACGTGCATTGGGCACTTGATGCCAAAAATGTTAGCCACCACTGGCCTATAACCTTAGGACTTGTATCCAAAGAACGGTCAGGCTCTCTATCTTATCTCTCTATCTCTATCTCTCTATCTAACCTCAGCTAGGTTTAACTAGGTAGTGCCACCTTCTGGCAACTTAAATTACATAGAAAGGCAAATAAGTTATAAGCACTAGCAAACAGCTGATGTAGATTATCATCATCCCACCTAGGCAATGATGCTGAACTGCAGTATACTCCAGAACTTCAACTATCTTACTCAGATTTGTAAAAGGATGGAAGGTAATACTGTACATATAGGTGCTCTCACTAACAGTATAATTCCAAATATAGGCAGTCCTCGACGTTCAAAATTGAGCCCAAAATTTCTGTTGCTAAGAGAGACGGTGGTTAAGTGAATTTCTTATGTGAATTTTGCCATGTTTTATCACCTTTCTTGTCAAGGCCATTAAATGAAGCACTGATTTGTTTAGTTACACGACTTAACAAGATAGTTAAGTGACTCTAACTTTCCCATTGACTTTGCTAATCAGAAGCTTGCAAAAGTTGATCACATGATCCCAGGTTATTGCAACCCTCACAAGTCAGTTGCCTAGCATTTGTATTTTGATCACATGATCATGAGGATGCTGCATGTTTAAGTGCGAAAAACCGTCATAAGTCACTTTTTAAAATGCTGTCATAACTTTGGACAGTCACTACACAAACTCTTATATATTGAGGACTACTTGTATGTCACTGTTAGTTAAGGAGCTAGCCTTGTTTGAAAAGGGAAGGAATGGCAGTATGTAGTACAAAATTACTGGGCAACCATGATTTTCCTAATGTTGGCCATTAAACTATTCAATTAACATATTCAGGAAGTTTACAGATGTCTTGAGAGAAGTAGCTTTGTATATAATTTATTAGGCAACTTCAGCTCATAATTATAGTTTTACAATTGATCTTTTTTGAGAATAATATAAATGCTGAAAATTCAGCATTTGGTCTATATCGCCTCTTCTCTAATACTGCTGCTGTTCCTTTGAATTTATTAATGTTTAAAGCCCAGTTTATATGCTACATCTTCCAAGTGAAATTAAGACTACTTGCTTTGGGGGTTAACACATAATTATTGTGTGATAATAAATTTGTTCACTTCTTACTTCAAAGGTATTTTTCTTTCTATACAATTTGTATGTGAAATCCAAAAGCACACATCACATTTCTGTTTGAATCAAACCAGATTTAGTGTAACAATTTTTTTATCCTTGCATTGGAAAATTGTATATCTAAATTAGCTCTTACTAAATGCAAAATAAAAAAGATTAATGATATTTTAAATAAATCCTTAAGAATGAAATTGTAAAAAAGTTCACTGTCCATTTGATAGCAAGAACAGTTATCAGTAATGCCACATAATCATTTCCCCCCAAATTGGTAGTCTGCCTAGCATTTTAGATAAAAATAAGTGGTCAGGTTAGTTGGGTCTGTCTGCTTAAAGCTGCTTGGAGTCAAAGCAGTTACCAAACAAGGAGCGATACATTTTCAAGTACACTAATTGCCTAGTTTATTCTCCGTTCTAGGTTATGGATCTTTGGGAATGATGACAAGTGTCCTGATATGCCCAGATGGCAAAACTGTTGAGGCTGAAGCTGCTCATGGCACAGTGACTCGTCACTATCGCCTGCATCAGAAAGGCCAAGAGACCTCCACTAATCCCATAGGTAAGTGGGCTGTACCATTCCCAGTCTAACCTAGTGTCTTAAATAAATGTCACAGCTAATTCCAATGAATCCTTGAAATCATAAAATTAATCCCGTGGACCTATCAGATTACAGGGAAAAAAATGGAATGTTTGCATTGTGCATGTTACATAACATGCTACATAATTTACGGTGTTAAATTGAAATAAATGTAGAAGCCAGACTTTTTTCTGGAATTGAAGCAATCTTTAACCAATCTTAATTTTTTCACTGGTGTTACAGTAATGTGATGAGCACCATTCAATGGGAAGTAGAATTCTTACAACCTCTGTGGCTATGTAACCACAGGCTACTCTCTAAAATCTGCTCAAGAACAAAGTGGAATTACTTCAGTGAACATTATCCATAGACATATTGAACAATGTATATATTGTTAGGTTCTCTTTTAGATTGAGAGTATAGAAAAAATAATAATGTAGGCAATACAGATGTCCATTTGAACAGTTTTGTTAATTGAGTTTTCTCTTCCGCTCTTCCTAGCATCCATCTTTGCCTGGACCAGAGGTCTAGCTCATAGAGCAAAATTAGATAATAACAAAGACCTCCAGAATTTTGCTTCAGCCATGGAGGATGTCTGTGTAGAGACAATCGAAGCTGGTTTCATGACGAAAGACTTGGCTGCTTGCATTAAAGGGCTGCCTAAGTAAGTGATCCGTTTCAGAGACATACCAGAATAAAATGTTTTAAAATTTATTTAGCTATTTAATTAATGTATAGGGCGGTCCATCTCACATAAAGGACTCTGAGTGGATAAAATGTCCTATCTGCTTCTGAGAAATGTTTTAATAAATAACAAACCTAGCAGACAACTTTGTTTACCAAAAAGTAGAGAAGGGGACAAGGGGATCAGCCATATTGGACTTAATTCTCACTAACAGAGATGAAATGATAGGTGTTTACAGTATTTTACAGTATCCTTCCCCTGCCATGCCCACCAAGCCATGCCCACAGAACCGGTAGTAAAAAATTTTTTGAATCCCACCACTGATCTTCATCAATGACTTGGACAAGGGGGTAGATGTGGAACTCATCAAATGTGCAGATGAGACCAAGCTGGCAGGAATAACCAACACTCCAAAAGATACGCTTAAGATACAGAAGGATCTTGACAGATTTGAACATTGGGTGCTATAAAAAAATGAAATTCAATGGTGAAAAAAGTTAAGGTTCTACATTTAGGCAAGAAAAATCAAATGCACTGGTACAGTATATGTGGTTCAATAGTAGTAACTGTGAGAGGGATCCCGGAGTCCTAGTGGACAACCATTTAAATATGAGCCAGCAGAGTGTGCAGCAGCTGCCAAAAAAAGCCAACACAGTTCTGCATAAACAGAGGGATAGAATCAAGATCATATGAAGTATTAATAACACTTTATAATGCCTTGGTAAAGCCACACTTGGAATACCAAATTCAGTTTTGGTTGCCAGGATGTAAAAAAAGATGTTGAGACTCTAGAAAGAGTGCAGAGAAGAGCAACAAAGATGATTAGGGGCCTGGAGGCTAAAACATATGAAGACGGTTGCAGGAACTGGGTATGTCTAGTCTAATGAAAAGAAGGACTAGGGGAGACATGATAGCAATGTTCCAATATCTCAGAGGCTGCCACAAAGAAGAGGGGGTCAACCTATTCACCAAAGCACCCTGAGGGCAGGACAAGAATCAGTGGGTGGAAACTAATCAAGGAGAGAAGCAACTTAGAACTAAGGAGAAATTTCCTGACAGAACAATTAATCAGTGGAACAACTTGCCTCCAGAAGTTGTAAATGTTCCAACACTGGAAGTTTTTTGTCTGAAGTGGTGTAGGGTTTCTTGCCTAGGCAGGGGGTTAGACTAGAAGACCTCCAAGGTCCCTTCCAACTCTATTATTCTATTCTATTCTAAATATACTAATACACTAATAAATAAAAATCATTTTAAAAATTGGAGACTGAACTACATTATAAAATCTAATGATTGCAATGCCTTGTCAAGATCAGTTGCAGCCGATGTCTCTTCTATATTTTAATTGCTGTTAGATTAGTTAACATGGCTGTTAAGTGAATCACTGCAGTTAAGTTAGCAACATTGTTGTTAAGTGAATCTGGCTTCCCCATTGACTTTGCTTGTCAGATCACAAAAGGTAACCCCAGGACAACCATCATAAATATGACTCAGTTGCCAGGCCTCTGAATTTTGAACACATGACCATGGAGATGTTGCAACTGTTGTGTGAAAAATGGTCATACATCACTTTTTTCAGGACCATTGTAACTTCAGTCACTAAACAAATTGTTGTAAGTCAAGGTCTATCTGTATAAAAAATAGATACCTTGTTAAGAGCATTTCTTATACTTTTGAATTTACACTATTGTTTTGCTTTGTTTTAATTACAGTGTGAAACGCTCTGATTATTTGAACACATTTGAATTCATGGATAAACTTGCTGAAAACCTGAAGACAAAATTATCTTCTCAGCCAAGATTATAAGAGCTGAACTTGAAGTATTTGCTCTGGAAAGACAACTGTCTCATGGATGGATGACAATATATATACATACATAAAAGAAATAAGGGTAGCACTTCAAAAAGTAAGAAATCAACCTAAATGTCGTAATGATCGAACTCTCACCCCCTAGCTTTCCGTAATATTAAGAGGGGGAAAGGCATAGATAACAGCAGAACTGATGTTTGTCTATGGAAAATAGCTTTTTCCAGGACAGGAATTAGGATAATTAATATTTGTTGAAGAGGAATGGGTTCTAAATTAAGTCATTTTTAAGAATTTTACTTTCTATCCCTTCATTAGATTATATATAGAATGCAAAACATCTTTCTGACAAACCATTTTAATGAAATTAAAGAATATCCAGCTTAGTATGGGCAATGAATGTTATAAGAGGATTTTAATTACTTTTGGTGGGGAAGAAGGGAAAAATGTTTTACAGGAATCTTTACTATGACATAGCCTTGTACACAGTACAGGCAGAAAAAAAATCCTTGAATTTCCTTACATCTGGGAGCTGATTAAAGAGAATGAAAAACTGCTTCCTGCTTGCACATGTAACTTAAGATGGAGCATTACAAACTAACTTGTCACCCAATTTGAATTGGCAGTAACATTGGTTTTTAAAGCAGGAAATAAACACTAATACCCATCCTTGTGTCCTGTGGTCTTTGAACTGTAACTTAAAATCCAGCAACTTGCACATTTATTCTGCCACCTGAAAGGATATAGAATGTTTAGTTTTAAAAGGCTGGACAAGTTTTAACCCAGTGCATAACAGACTAAGATCTAGCTCTGACATAAGAGTACAATAGTACCATCTTGATATGTAAGTATGAGCATCTCTTATCCCCTAGGAACCTGAAAAAAATTGGGAACTGCAGATTACATTCAACTTTTCTATAAGATAGGCATCGCTGTTGGACCTGTGACAGAACTGAAAATTTGATGTACATTTTCAAATTAAAGTGTACACAGCCATCATCACAGAACATCCATTCATGGAGGGCAAAATACCATGGTGGGAACATGCTTTCCAGTTTCCAGGATGCTCAATTCAAATTTATCTTTTTCTGTCTAACAGTTCCCATTCTCAACCAAGCATAGAATTGGAATATTATCTAATTTTTTAAGATTAGATAGAAATCGTATACGGGCAACACATTGGATTTGCTCCATTTTATCCAGAAAATTTATCATAATGTTGTACATGCCACATCAGAAATAGAAAAGGATTAGGTAAATTATATAAAACGTTTGCATACAAGTATCCAAAATGAACTATTCTATTTTTAATTCCTTGGAACTATTTTCAAAGAATAGTACGTTAAATGATTGCGGGGTGGAAGAGGGAACAGTGTTACTGAAATACTTTGCTACACACCAGATGCCCATTTCATTAAAAAAAAAATTAGGAAATTGAAAGTAATACATTGGAATAATCCCTGCTGCCTGGAACAGGCCAAAATTGGGACCAGTGGAGGCCGAAAATGGGGCACATGGAGGTGGCAATTGCCGATACCTACAGCCTGTAAACAGCTGATCATCGGGAGGCCAATTCAACAATCACCTGCTTGTGCTAATCAGGCTGTGCTGAAGCTGACCAGGCTGTTTGCTGCAAGGAGGCAAATTGCTGGGAGGCAGAGGCATATAGTTTTCCTCCCCAAAAGCTAGGTGCATCTTATACTAGGTGCATCTTATACTTATAGTGCTAGGTGCATCTTATACTATAGTCCAAAAATATGGTATTTTTAACATCTTGAAAAATTGTGTTTACCTGCCCCCACAACAAATTCTGAATAAATAGATCTAGATTTGAGATGGATGTATTTTAGCATCCCCCACTGGGAAAATTCTGTTACTATTTTCTGTTAAAAAATGATGACTTACTTCAAAAAATAAATAAAGCTGTCTTAATACATTCAAGGTTTTAAAATACAGTGGAAGCTAAACTATAGTATCCTTTCTTTGAAAATGAAGATGATTAATTTGGATATTAAAAATATCATTTACAATTCTATCGACTGAAGAAGTAAACAATTTTATACCAATTACTGAAACATTATTCCAAAATCTCTGAATATATTAATCTGTCACACACAAAAATAGCTCTTCTCCATAATGTATTTTTTCATGAAAATAAGTTGTGATTACATGAAATCTGCTTTCCAACCAAAATGAATCTTGACTGTCTTTTTCCTTTACAGTACTTGGATTACTCTATTCCTCTGCTGTTGTATAAAGCTTTAAAGGCACACTTCTATTGCAGTAAATAATAATGATAATATAAAAGACATGCAAGGCGATTTTAGTTTTCATCTTGAAATAGAATAAATCTGATGTAATTCAACAGACCTAGTTTGAGAAACATATTTATAGAAAAGAATTTTATTTTTAAAATGAAATAACTAAAACTAGGTGAATTAAAAAAGCCATACTTAGGAAACAATTGTGTTACTCTTTGTCTAAAGACTAATCACCAAATCTAAGATGAATTTCCTTTTTTAATGTTCTTGGTTTTCCTGGACATTTTAGTTCCTTTGGTCAAGTTTTTTTTTGTTTTGTAGATGGGGGAACTGAGGAAGTCAGTCATTGTAAAGGGATCACCACGCCTCAGTTTTCTGCAGGAAAGAAACATAATTTGTTATAAATACTATACTGACTTCATATCCAGAAAATAGCACCCAATTTGTATATTCCAACTAAAAAAATTATGTGAAACAAAATGCAAAACTAACCTATTCAGGCTAGGCTCTGCATAGGAAACATCCCTTTTTCTTCGTCGGCTTGGATATATTGGAGAAGTTTCAAGAGGAATGGAATTGGTCATATCTTTCAGTACTTTGTTCCCTGTGAACAGAATAAGGTAAAATGCTTATGATACATCAATACTTCCAGGTGAATTCAATTACTAAACAGTGGTAGATTACAATTAAGTAAAAGATTTTTTTTTCATTTTTAACTATACTACAGCTCTATGCCTGTTAATTGAGAGTAAGTCCCAATAATTTCTGAGTATATGTATCTAAGATTATACAATATTCTATAGCCATGGTCTTTCAAACAGCTTTCAGTAGGTTTGAGTTATTAGTTACCAATAAGGTATTACTAGTTGCTATCCTTTACCTCTTTCCAAGGAGATGAACAGAAGTGCTAGAGCAGTGATGGTGAACCTTTTTGTTATGGTATGCCGAAAGCGTGTGCATGCTGGCATCCACAATGCAATGTGCCCCTCCTGAGCATGCACGTGCAACACCCCCTTACCTGCACTGTACATGCGCGCGCCTCCCAGCTGATTTTCGGCCCATTTTCGGCCTCCTGGAGGCTCGAGGGAAGCCTCTGCAGCCTCGGGAGGCCGAAAAACAGGCCTTCCGGAAATACCGGAAGTGCCCATTTTCAGCCTCTGGGGGGGCCTCTGGAGCCCGGGGGAGGCCATTTTTGTCCTCCCAGAGGCTTGACGGAAGCCTCTGGAGCCTTGGGAGGCTGAAAACTGGTATTTCCGAAGGCCTGTTTTTTGGCCTTCTGAGGCTGCAGAGGCTTTTCTTGAGCCTCCAGGAGAACGAAAACTGCCTCAAACAGGCAGAAAATCAGCTGGAAGGCACACGCATGCGCAGTGCAGGTAAGTTTGGCTGGGGCTCGCGGGCCTGCACAAATGGCTCTGCGTGCTACGGTCCTAGAGTAAAAAATTACTTAAGAAGCCATCAAGTCTAACCCCCTGCAGGATTCATTACACCATCCTTGCAAAATGTTTATCCAGCTTCTTTTTGAAAACCACCTCAGAAGGGAAGAAGCCATCTCATGTTGATAACCTATTCTACTGACTGACAGCTCATATTGTAAGAAGTTATATGTAATTCTCAGCTTATACCTACAATTAAGACCAAAATTTTTGTTGTTAAATAAGTAATGCCCAGTTTGTGATCTCCTATGCCACTGATGCTAACTAAATCACTGCAGTTGTTAAATGAATCGTGGTCATTAAGCAAGTCTGATTCCCCCCACTGACTGCTTGCTGGAAGCCAGCTAGAAACATTGCAAATGGTGATTACATGACCTCAGAACACTACAACTGTTGCAAATACATGCTGGTTGTCAAGCATCCAAATTTTAATCATGTTTATTTATTAGGATGCTGCATTGGTTACAAGTGCAAGGACCAGTTGGTCACTTTTTTCAATGCCATTGAAACTTTGAATGGTCACTATGGTGTAAATCAAGGAATACCTTATTCCTAATCTCTAATCTGCATCTACAGATTAGAACTTTCATCCCATTAGTTCAACTCTTTACTGTTTGGAGGAAGTGAAAATTAGTCCAAACCTACAATGTGAATATCTAAAGACAGATATCAGGCCCTCTCAACCTTCTCTTCCGCAAGTTAAATATACTTTGTAGTTTAACATTAACTTTAAATTAATATGAACCTGATTTTCTTATTTATGATACTGTTCAGGTATGTTCCTTTCTAGCCAACACTCCTCTCAAGCAGATTTACAGTAACCAATTCCTACAGGGCCAACTGTGTGAAACCTGAGTTAACCTGCTCAGATTTTTTAGTCATGGTAGAAAGTTCCTATGTGGACAGCCTTTAACTGCCAGTAATGTTATTTTAGAAATATTTTAATGACAATCTGATAAAAAAAACCAAAGTTAAATTAAGAAACAAAGTAAGAATTAAGGTGACAATTCTTAAGTCACTGTGTCTTATAGTTTGTAAAGTAAAAGATAAATGTAGGAATAAAGACCATGTTTATCTTAAAGATTAATTAATTTATACAATTCGTGTTAGTTTGTTCTGCTATTCTTATAGTAAAAGCTTTTAAGTGTTGTTGTTTTTTTGCTGGAATCCCAACACTCTCTATTCATGGTAAAGAAATCAAAATTAGGTTTATCCACCGTTTATGTTGAAACAATTTGAGTGAATAGAGGCAAGCATCTGTTGTATTACAAATTTCTTACTTTCCAGGATATTCTTTCATTCAATG